CCCACCCAAATCGCATTTGAACTCTCTGAAATCGACGACGTCTTTCTCCCTCGCCGAAAATCAACGATGACAGCTCTGTTCCTCGTTGGAAATCGACGGCGACAGCTTCATTCGTTGACGATAGCTCCATTCCTCGATCCAGGTATGCCATTCCTCGATCCAGGTACGCCATTCCTCGCTCCCTTTACATTTAAGTTAACACCCTTTACATTTTTCAATCTAACGGCAAACCATAGCTAGAAGGTGTACAGCTATCAGGTTTTTTAGTCTAAAATTGTTAGGGTTCTTGTGTGTTGAATAAGCAATTGATTTGGGGCTTTTTGCTAGGGTCTTTCTCGTTGTAATCTGGGCAGATTTGTGAGAGGGTTGCATTTCCTTCTTGAGGCTAGGATAGGTCTCTGATTTCTTACAGGTTATAGAGAGTTATTGAGTGATTAGGCTTGGGTTAAAGCATTGCTCTGTTTCTGTAGATTGAGTGTGTAATTCTTGGTGTTTGATTTCTTTGAATCTTGTTTGTGTTGGATTGATTTATGTGTTGGATTGACAGGTTAATTAAAAATAAAATTTAAATAAATTTATTTTAAAAAGTGGCACAGGTTCAATCCAAGTGATTCTGGTTTTATTTGTGATCATGCACAAACGTTGTATTCGTGCATCATTTGCTTTTTAAGTAGGAAACTCTCTCCCCTGAACCTGACAAAATGGTGATGGTTTTTCTCTCTTCTTTGTGATTGCATTTCTTTATTTCAATCAAAAAGGTAATATTAATCATTTTACATGTTAATTTCTTTTCTTATTTGCTGTTGCTAAAACATTGCAGCCTGTTGGGATGATATAAACCCATTGCCAAGTTACAAGATTTAGTTTTTTTATTTGATCTAAAAAACTTATCAGATCAAATAAAAAATATAAATCTTGACATCCTTGCAAGGTGCTTTTTCCATCAATGGTATCTTCTAATCTTTTAGAACCCTTCTATTTTCATTGCTTTTAAATCTTCCCTACCGTCAACTATAGTCAGTTGTATTCTATTATTTAATGCTTGATAAAATCTCTTTTACTATATTTCTTTATTTTGCTTCAGTCCTTTGACTATTCTGCTTCATCTTTATCAATATATTTCAGCTAGTACATATTCACTTAGTTCTGTTGGTTACAATCTTGGAACTGTGAGTGTTTAATTTACTGGATGTGTGATTAAAACCCAGGTCTGTATCATTGTCGAAGTATTAATGAAGGTTATACCTAGAATGACTTTGGACAATGCAGTTAATATCATGTAAAGAACACACTACAATGGATTGTCTGTTGTGATTATTTGTTCTCAAACGGATGCAGAGGATCATTGCATGCAACTAAGAGGTAATGGGCTACTGAGTTCTATTGAACCTGCAAGTGGTGGTGGTTGCTGAAGATGTAGCCCTAGTGAAAAATCCCCTGGGTTTATTCTTCCCACAAAGTCATATAAATCTGTATCAACAGTTCAATCTAATATTTTATTTTTGATTTTATTTGTAATAGGTTTTTTGTGTTATTTGTTTTGGAGTTTATTGGTGTAAGCACAATGTTGATTTTGTTATAAGGTTTGGAGTAGCTAGTCAATATTATAACATTATAGCAAACATGGATTTGGACTTTGAATTGTTATTAAATACTTAAATTATGTTAGGATTGTTGTTGAATTTGAACTTTGAATCATATTGGACAGTAATTAAGTTGTTATTGTCTTATTGAAAAATAGAAATCTAAAAAAAAAATTGTTTTTTTAAAAATGTGCTGACGTCATCATGATGTGTGATGATGTCACCGGTCCAATCAGCGGTCCAACCGGTTGGACTGGTTGAACCGTGACCCGACCATCAAAGCGGTTTGCCCTCTGGTCTGGTTTTTAAAACAATGCTTGCTACCTTGGTTTGTCAACTTAAGCATATAACAGTATGCTTCTAATATTGCGTCCGGGTGTTCAGTTCCGGGTACCCTGCATTTTTTTAAGAAACCGGAACCGGAACCGACGATTCCTTGAAATTGGAACCAGAACCAGAATCGGAACCGTTACTTGTGGTAACGGTTCTGGTTCTGGGTATCCTATAAAATTGCAATGACCCCCCAAAAGTTTTTAAAATAGAAAAAAAAACCCTTAAAACCACCCCCCCAGGCACTTATTAACAAAAATAAAATTACAAACTCCATTACTTTGTAAAGGTAAATTCTCAAAAGTCAAACTAACTTATTTTAAATGTTATGAAATATAAATATAAATGTATTCACATTACTTTTTCTACAAAAGTTTTTATTTACCCCCCTAATCTTTAATTTTATTTTATATTAGTCTCGGTTCCTGGTTCTGGTTCTTGTTCCGATTCCTAACTATAGGAACCGGATCAGGAACCGCACAGTAACGGTTCCAAAAATTTGGAACTAGAACCTACCTGTTGACGGTCGGTTCTGGGTAGGAACCAAAAGCAAACCCTGGGTACTCACCGGTTCCGGTTCCAATAGGTTCTTTTGAACACCCCTAATACTGCGTACCCATGATCTGGCGTGCCCCTCACAAAATCTTGTGCATGTTGTCTCCCTTTCCAGCATTTCTAGTAACTAACATCGCATTCTAACTTTGTGCGCGCAAGTCTATGAATGTCCTTAGGAGATGGACATTTCCCTTCAACAAACTGACTTTTGACAAATTGTCCAATAACATCAGCGGAGGCTTGTCGATACTTGCCTGAAATATGTCCCAACCCACATGTGTGCTCATGAGTATATGTGCTCGCAATAAATTTTTCTGACTCTGCCAACCTTCTACAATAAACCCCCCACTTGCACTTTCGGTCACGACATGCAACCGTCACTATCGATGAATTAGACTTTTTGCTGATGAACTCAAAATAACCTTTTACAAGAACAAGTTTTAGCTTCCTTACCACTTCCTCCTTGTTGTCCAATAAATAACCTATGCGCAAGTTCGATCCATCAGTAAAAACGTGAGGTGATTCACTACTACCCGCAATTGTCGCCTCTGAACTTGCATAAATGACCATAGTGTTCTCTTCCTCACAAACTACACCTTCTGCATAATTTGTATTTATAGGAATTTCTACATCTGCAAGAACATGTATGGGGTCCTCCTCGTCCACGTTTTCATTTTGCCCCACATGACCAACCTCTTCTACAGTGTCCTTCTCACCACCGAATTCATCGCTTACTCTTAATTTTTCAACAAAGAAATCAATACCCTCGTAGTTAAAATAAAAACCGTATTCTCCCCACCCAAATCACCGTTTACTCTTGAACCAACTTCCAAAGCTTTATCCACAACCAAAACCGTTAAAATCGGTCTCGAACCATTATCGCCCACATCAAGCATAAATAACTTCACATCTTCATCAGACATTAATACAAATAAGGGGGTACCTTAAAATTTGCAGGAGCTCTGCTTAAAACATACTTCACAACTATATCACTACGTGAGCAACTCAACCCACCTCTTCTAATGATTTAATCAATCAACTCATCAAAACTAACTTCTGTACTCACAACAATTGCTTTAACTTGTTTGCTCTTCCCAATCCACTTCCAACAACTTTCCTCTTCCACCCACTCACCAAAATATTCAACACCCAAAACCACTTGTCTCATGTCTAATAATAGCCAAGTACCTATAATGTAAGAAAACAAAAATTATTAACCGATATATTAAGGGTTGACAGATTTTAAAAAGCATATCCAAATTCGCTTAAACGATGTGGTGTATCACTTAAGCGATCTGGTATGTCACTTATTGAATCACTTAAGCGATCTGGTATGTCACTTATTGGATCGCTTAAGTGATCTAGTATAAATAAGTTTGATCGCTTAAGCGATTTACTGTCATATACTAGATTTATAGCAGATCGCTTAAGTGATCTTCTACCATATACATGATCGCTTAAGTGATCTGTCATCTGCTGCATTATATCAGACATACCAAATCACTTAAGTGATACACTAGATCGCTTAACCAATCCATCAGATCCAGAACACATTTTTCATCATCTCCACCTACAATTGGTGCTACAACCCCTAGCTACTCACAATACAAGAAAATATTCAACAAATTTCACTCTTTTCAACTTGTATTACATCAAACACAACTCAACAACCTAAACAACTAAATCAAAATCATAACCCAAATCTAATCCATCATTGAATCTTTGTAAATCGAAATTTAAAATGCAAAGAGGAGATACACATACCTAGACGAAATGTTAAGAGGAGGAGGAGACAGATTTTTGGCAGAGAAGATGTTAATGGCAGAGGAAGAAGAAAGTGTTAATGGCGGAGGAAGAAGAAGACGTAGACGAAGCTTAGAAGAAACAACAATTAAAGAAGGTGCGTTAATGGCGGGAGGAAGAAGAAGAAGGTATTTGGGTTTGTTTGCAAGAATTTCGGTTTTTTGGGGACATAGATAATTTTTAAAAGATTACATAATACTTCGTTAATCCTAATTAACTACTAATTATGTTTAATTAACTATTTACTTTAACGCTTTAAAATTATGTAACCTTTTAATTAAATTTAAACTTTATTTATTAAAATTTAAAACGCCCCATAATAAACTGGGGGGAATTAGTTTAGGACAAAATGAAGAAGGAAAGAGAAAGAGGGATTGCATGAAAAAACAAAAAACGCGCCTAAACCAATGATTAATGGATCTTATTTGCAGAATCTTCCCTTCTTTCTCTCTTTAATTTAGAAAGGACTCACCGTACAAACCGTCCGCCGACCACTGACTGCGCTTCATTATTTCTTTCTAACACTAAATCTTCCTTTTTCTTTATATCCATTCGTTTACGATTCTTATTCAATTTCTTTTTCTTTTTATTTCTTCTCACTAATCATTTGTTTTTGTCACTGATTTATCTAGGGTTTTCTTTAATTCTTGTTTACTGAGTTAGTGTTCCCAAATCATTCACTTTTTTCTCTGATTTGGGTGGAATGTTAAGTATTTGCTCGTTATGTTAAGAAAACAAAAGCAGATTCGTTTGATCTTGAACCAATTTTCTAATTCGTTGAACTTGTATCATAACAATCTTGATATGATGTCTTATGCCATCCGGAGCGAGCCCTTTTGCAAGGGGTTTCACTGTCGCCCACAATCTTCTCCTCTCGAGGGTAATATTTGTGGTGGTAGTAATGTTAATCCTTTTAGAATAAAAACTAGCAAAGCTAATGGCTTGATTTTGCGGGGTTGTTTTGATTCTAACAAACCAACGGCGGCTGATAAAAAAGCTGGCGCCTTTGCTCGCCAAAGGTTGCGTTATATTGAAGAGGTTTGTTCGGATGCTAGCTTGTTTAATGGTCGTGGCTCCAATCAAAGAGGAAACCCTCTTGGCTTTATTGACCATACTTTGCCTGAAAAGATTGCTGTTGCTGTTGACGTCGATGAGGGTATGAAACATCATTGTTTTTTTGTTTGTTTTGGGTTTTTGTCAATGTTAAAGTTTGAGCTATGTTTTCGTTTTTTTAAATTTATATTGCTTTGACAATGCTTATGTTTGTTATTTAACTGATATGACATGGTCAATGTCACGGAAAATTAATCAAAAGCTGAGAATTTTTGGTATGCCTTTTTCTATTGGGTACATTGTTTCTATTTCGGGGGTGTGATGATATTTGAAGGTTCTTGTTTTGTGATCATCGGCAAATGATTTTGTATTTGTTTCAATAGTAGTTCATTTCAGTTCTGTAATCTTTTTGACAATAAACATTACACAGATTGTTTCAGTTCTCTATTCTGATGCACATACTTTTTATTTTCTTTGTTTTGTGATAAGCAGTTCTGGGAAACTTTGTGTCGGCTCTGAATAGATTTATTGCAGATCGATATTCTTCGAATCATTCAGTTTCGGAATACCATGTGTATGAGTTCTTCAAGGTAATATCTGATATTTTCTATTGCATAAAGTGGTAGAAGGTCATTAGAAATTTGTACTATTAGTAAATAGCACAATATATGATCTGGTTTCTACAGTGCACTGCATCGATCCCTGGTTTCTTTTGGCTCAATTCTGGCTGTTACAACTGTTTACATTTAGCTGGAGATGGACAATATTTTGCTGCATGTTTTTATTATAGATCTGGGCAAGTTCAGTTGGACTTAACATGAGCAAAATTGGATCATTGGGAACTTCTGAAAATAGGCTTTTTAACTCTATGGTGTATCTTAGAAATGATTATTGGATTTATGCTATTCAAAATGGATCTCTAGAAGCAATTGCTTAGTGAGGCATCAGGTCTCTATGCTTGGTTGAGACAGTGTTTAGTTACTGTAGCTGATCTCTTTGTCCTAATATTTGGGAAACTACGAATTCCTGTGTGGATTTCTGCTGGTGCATATGGGACTTCTGTGATTTTGTTACTTATTATGTGCCCAGAACATTCCTTCCAATTAACTAAGACTTCAATGTATCAGTGCAGTGTTATATAAATATCAATTTTTATCATCTCACACAACCTGATCAAAACCAGTTTTGAAGTTGAGATGCTTTCCTTACATTCAAGTCTATATGCCTTAGATTTTACTACATTAACCAAAAAAAAAAAAATTCCATGTGAATAGTTTAGATTACCAATCAGGGGTACCATTATATCACTGACTTGTTTAATATAACCTCGTCCTCCTTCTTTCAATCAATTCTATTAGGGAAATTCTGAATATCTCTTATATGTATTCTGATGTGTCCTTTTCTTTCTGAACTGCAGATATGGAACTGTTCACGTGATGAAGGTACTGCTAGGGATATCAATTGCTTTAGCTGGTTTGCAATTTAGGGCTTTTTAATTTCAGTATTATTTGACAAAACATTAATTTAGTATCTTAAATGAGCAATTGGTTACGAAATTTTTGAAGTTTGACTAATGAAATTCCTAGTATATAATTTGACTGGTCTCTTTGACTTTTCCTAAGTTCACTGGCTACCGTGTTACCTTAAGTAGTTGTGTACTAGCTTTAACTACCAAATTTAGTTGGAGTTTTATGGAATGTTCTTTGATGTTTTAACTGTCTGTAAATAGATCACAAGATCTCTTAGATGGATGCTTGTTTATTGAAAATGGCAAATGTGATTTGGAAATGTTATAAATCTGTTCTTTTTCATTTCCTGATGTTTTACAATTTTCATATCAATCTTATTGAGTTTGATTTTTTTTTTCCCCTATCCTTTCAATCTTTTTTGAATATTTTAAAAATATTATGTACCATCTGTGAGAATGCTTTCCAGATAATACTATATGTTCAAACTTAATTTCACAGTATAACAGTGATTGCCTCATTGTTTTCCTTCAAGTGCAGCATTGACTGCACTATGTTTCTTATATGAGAGATATTTCAATCATAAAATCAATTGATTTTTGAAAATATCTACTTTCATGTTGTGACAGCTGATATCCGAGTCCATGAATTCTTTAAGACACCATATTTCAAGACAGGCATCCACCCAATCCCCGGTGCACAAAAGGCACTTCATAACTTATCAAGATTCTGTAACCTATCAGTTGTGACGTATGTATGATTCTTATAATTTTTCAGTACCTATAATGAGTTAGGCCAAGTGTTAACTGGATCTCCTAATAATGTATGATTAGGTCTCGGCAAAATGTGATCAAGGACCACACTATTGAATGGATTGAGAAGCATTATCCAGGATTGTTTGAGGAGATTCACTTTGGAAACCACTTTGCTCTAGATGGAACATCTAGACCTAAGTCAGAAATATGCAGGTATGCTATTGGTAAATGCATTTGGAACTCGTAGCTTTGAAACTGGAAATTCCATGATTAAGATGTAATTTGAAGTGAAAGTGTATCGTATTATCTTGTTTTACTGTGACTTACCAGCTTGTTGGGTTGTGAGTATTGTTATGTCAACAAGCCTAATTTGCCAAGACCTACTGGATTGAATTGCTGACCATTTTGGGCTTGATGAATTGTTTCTACCAGGTACTTGGGGGCCAAAATTCTCATTGATGATAACCCAAAGTATGCAATTGAGTGTGCTGATGCTGGAATGAGGGTTCTACTTTTTGATTATGAGAATTCGTATCCCTGGTGCAAGACACAGGCAATCGATCAACATCCTTTGGTGACTAAAGTTAATAATTGGGAAGAAGTGGAGCAACAAATAGTTTCCTCGATTGTTTCTTAGTATCGTAATCCTATAATAAGGTTTGATCAAGACCACCATTCTATCAAGATTTTTATGAACCGATTCTAATGCTGCTGAATAACGTCAGCGTATTCATATAGTAAATTTTGGGGGAGCTCTGGTCGAGTCCACCCAAGTAGGGTTATGATATACAATCTGAAGTAGAGGAACAATGGAATTGGATCAATCAATACATTGTTTTTATGTTTCTTCCTGTTTGAGGGATAATGACGGAAAAAAGGGGTTTCAGATATAGAAATTGTGGAATTCCATGTAATTATAGAGATAACGTTATTATTATTGTAAAAGTCATGCTTTTTGTCCTGTAGTTCGAAATGAACTGACCAGGTTAGCACTGGATTTGTGTTCTTGTTCTGCTTAATTTGTGTAATCCACGGGGAGATCTGTATTTTGGAACCAGATCTATATATACAGTGAAACCATTAACATAATCAAAATGTTGAAATTACAAGAATGCTTCCTGTGTCACTGTAAAGTGTTTTGTTCTGACTGCGTTTCTTAAGCTAGCCAATCCGGCTCTATATTCTCATGGTTTATTGAGTTCCAATTCGAAATCTAAATTAACCCAGTATTTATCTTCAGCTCAGGGCTATTCTTATATAAAACAAAGTCCAGAGACATTGTGATCACTGAAGGTTTGCATATCAATTTAAAGTGGCTGAATTTCAAGGCCCTTGCAGCTCATCATAATTTCAAGCACGAAATGGTCACAGTATTGTTGTGAGGTATGTGATAAATATTACTTAAAACAAGCACTGATATTTATTTAACAGGAAAGCCCACGTATGGTTACATTCACAAAGCCTTCCAATTGAGTGCTTGTCAGGTACTTTGTGATGCCTTCGCCATCCACAGGCCCCAAGTGATTCTGGCTTTGCTTTGGTCAACTATACTATTCACTTGCAATTACTTTTAACAACATAGCATAGCTTGATTCTGGTTTTGGAAGTCTCTATCTGTAGGGGTTAAAAGTGACAAAGGTAGTCTAAAAAATTGTCAGTCAGTCTTCTCCCCCAAATCGATTCCATAAGCTTGCAAAATATCCAATGCTGCAGCATCAAAAAAAAAAGAAAAACGGTTAATCATTTGATTATATGCCTTCGGGTTTAAGTAAAAGGTATTGTAATGCCATGCAGCTGCCGTTTACTGCTGATAATATTGATTTACAGACGTTTAAATTCAGGTGCAAGCAAACTAGGAAAACCTGGAAGTGGCATGTGGATGTTCATTATTTGTTAACCCTTATCAAGGCAGCTTTGGCTAATTGTTGGTGACAATTTAAGTTGTTAACGGAAGCCAGAATGCATAAACAGTAAGAGTGAAATCAGTTTTTTGATGTGACATTACCTGGGACATATACTTCTGGTTCAAGGGGTCGCAGGACACCTCTTGTTTTTATCTTGTTTACGAGTAGGAGCTGCAGCAATAAAAGAAAATAAATTCAAAGTATTCTTCCTTGATCAAAAAGAGGTGCATAAAGATGTTGCGACAAGTACCAGAGCTGCTACGGCTGCTGGAATACCAACAGTTCGGGCCATGGCAGAAATCATTTTCCCATTCTTTGTTTTCCCAAATTCCAATAAAGTGGCCCTATGCTTCTCCGTTGCCTTGCCATCTGGAAATTCTACCTCTACTTCATGATGTAAAAGCACCATATCCTGTCCACAAATCACATTAAATGAAAAGATGCTCAAAATTTCACAGAAGGAATTCGTCATAAATTAATATATTATGCAGAATATGCTATACATATGCAATTACGTACGCTTGTTTAACATAACTATTGGAAGATGCGGATGGCCATATGGATATCACACCAATGTGTACACATACTACATATGTATTGTAGATTCAGTTATGAAAGGGTTGCTTAACCCTGAGGAGAATGTGCTCCTTTCCAAGATTATGCTCAGAAAGCATTGAGATCTTGCAACATATATTTCTGACTTGATTTTTGCCTCTTGATGCAGATATATTTGGAAAGTAAGGATGATATATTCTTAAAACAGTATGTACAGCCAAAAATAAAAAAAAAATAAAAAGGCATCCAAGTGCCTGTCTTATATTCCAATTTGGGGGTATTCAGAAGCGCTTTTTTTTTTTTTTTTTCATTTATTGATAAGATATACCTCCTCTGTGTTAGAATAGGCTAGTCTTTCTTCCATGCGAAGACAGCTGACATCAAATGCACTCTGACAGGATTCAGGAATATCTGTCTGCTCATTAAGCCCCAGAAATCTAATAGACATGAAAGGAACAATTCAAACTACTAAATTATCACACTGTTTCTGAGTAAGAAAAAATAATGACATTGTCGCCAATTGGCCAGTTAAAAAATCTATGCCAAATGAAAATCCTCACACTATAGTTTTGGCTGCACTTGTTGCTGTTTCCTGCTCTTTGCAAAATCCAAGTGAGAGAATCCTTTCCGATATGCCCTTCTCTTCTTTTAAAGTTTCATCCATATTTTTACTATCAACTTTTAGAATTTCACATAGGAACATTCTGAATGTTGGCCGCTTTCCATTTTTAAGAATTGGATGAGCTTCAGCACTAAAAAGACCAATTCTTGCAAGTGTCCCCATAATTTTGCCAAATCCTGCACAAATCATTTAAAGGATAAATGTCGAAAACACATAAACTAATAGAAGATTATGTTGATTAAATCTCAATGAGAACCTATATCAGAATTTACTATTGACCCTAATTTTTGTTTCCAGCCATTAGTTTTTATCTTTAATAATTTGAATACCCTCAATAATCTTATATATTCAAGTTAATTAATCAGGTTCTTAACTCTATTGGCCTTAAAAACATAATCAAAAGCCAACTTCATGTCATACCTTCATACCGAAATGTTCCTCGAAAGATGGTTGACGCTTCATTTGCTATGCCATACAAATCTCCATAAACTAAAGAGTTACGATTAGGAAGTAACTCCAATGCAAAAGCTGGAAGATCTGGAACCCGAAATCTGACTGCTGAATCATAAAGATTGTCCCCTGCAAGTTTGCACCAAAAACTACAACAGTTAGAGAGGGGGCGGGGGAACCGGAAAACTTAAACTTTTTAGAGACAGAAAAATGTTAGAGCCTTGATCTATAAGAGAATTATTGCATTCTTCCAACATGTTCATGCCAGTGACTCATTGGTTAACATGAGATAAACATAAAGCCCTCTAAGCTTACTGCAACAAATTATGAACATTTTGTAAATAGTCATTAAGATAGAGACACTATTTTATATTTATACCATAGATGGGCAAATGCTCATTGGAAAATAAAAAGAAACATAAAGGGTATGCACATAATTTACTGGCTTCTTCTATTTATCAAACTTTTGGATTGCACACAGCTTACCATCAACATTTAGAATTTCACCCTGAGATTTATATGTGGCAGGGTTGCGCCCAGCTCGTATTGCTCCTGCAGGACTCCAACTGAATGTTTGATACCACAGTTAGTAATGCCATCATATAGCCATAATGCTCTAAGTGAAATATAACAATCAGAATGATAAGTAGGGATGCTTGAATCAATCAGATCAAATGCATGGTAAAAGAACAGCAAGAAATTCCTAGTCTAGAAGTTTGATTCAGAACTCCCATAACTTCAATTTGATTGATCTAGGAATCAAGGGTGACAATGAAACAGCAATTAGAGAAAAAAAAAAAAATTGAGGGACCCTCTGAAATTTTTTTGTTACACTAATCTGAAATTAATTTTGATAATGGGCACCTATTACATGATAGAAGCACAAGCATATATTGATCTTTAATAGAGAATTATATTTCATGGGTAGCAGAAAAGCATAAAATATTTTAGTTTATCTCCACAGAAATATAATCAGTGTCTCTAGCTGATTCAAAATCCGTGGATTTGTAAAACACACAACTAAGCACAAAAGTAACTCTTTGGCAAAGCAATTACTGTAATATAATAAGCATTTTCCAAGCATTTTGCTACTTCGAACCTTCGTCAGCCAAAAAGCAAATCTATTCTATGATGGTAATTCTTAATCTCCTCAAAGTTCTTGTGGTTAGTAACAATACCTGAATTTGTATGCTAGTGGATTATTAGCAGCTGCTGGAGATGGAAGGCCCCCACAGAAAGAAGTGAAGGACTTAATTTTTCCTTTTCGAGCACGTGCTTCGTTGATCATCTTCATTGCCAACATATGATCTGAAGCATTTTGTAAGTATTGATCAAAATAAAACTAAATAAATCATCTTTTATTATATTACGGCCTAAAACGTTTTATACATATCGATCAACATAAAACTAAAGTCACGAAACTGGCATATATATTCTTTCAGATCCTGGTTCAATCATTATGAAGATTCTAGGGGGCGGGGACCTTAGGATATAAATAGGAAAATAAATATGACCTAAACACTTTAACACAATAATAAGAAAAGTTTTTATTACAATGTAATCACATGAAGGTCATCTTACACTCTCCCTAGACTGTTTTTATGTTTCTCAAATCAATAATTTAAAAGGATGAGGCCTAATGGCTATGGAAACGGTAAATCTTTATTGGTGTTTTTAGCTTGACAGGATCTGAGGTTAACAACACTTCATTGGTTGTACAGACAGGAGTTACCCAGAACAATTAAATAAAAACTTAAGGACACTTCGGCCGGTTCGTCAAACAAAATTTCAACGGACACATCAAATAATTCGTCAAACAAAATTTCAACGGACACATCAAATAAGACGAAAATAAGTAGACAAAAAGACTTCTCAGCAAATTGAATTTCATGTATACGTTTTCTGTTCCTAAAATGTTTGAATTGAAGCTTGTCTCCAGAGTCCAGAAAACAAAAATATATTCTGCCCGGCAAGTCACATATTTTTCAGAAAAGCTTATTTTATTTTATTCTATTACATGGCTGGATATCAAAAGGAAAATTATTTTCTCAGTATCATTCATACATCCAGGTTTAAAAAGTGAAAGCTACTGTTATTTGCCAAAGACAATATTTTTTAGTAACAAAGCAGCATGGCTTAGGATGTTAATTACCTATCCCTGGGTCCAAGCCCATCTCACCAAGAATTGTTATACCGGCACTCTTGGCCTTCTCATTTAGCTTTGACATGGAATCATCAACATAGCTAGCAGTGACAAGATGTTTTTTAAGCTGCAAAACGAGATATAATCATGTTCTTAGCTAAAGGAAGAGTAAAATCAAAAGCAATTAATACTTTTATATCCTATAATCAACATTTTACTGCAAATGTTTGATAAGATGGTATCTATACAGCAGTTTGAAGTAAACATGTAATAAAATTATCTTTTAATCACTTGAAAAATAGTCTTTAACTTGTTCCATTGGAGTATATAATTCCCCTTCCATGCACAACTTGAGAGCCCTCAACATTTCTGAAGGCTGATAATTAACTATTGCCACTATGATCCTTCTGTTCCTTTCTTTAACACTGTTGCCAAACTCTTGATGCGACTACTAGACAGGATACAGAAAGTACTAAGAAAGTATATATTACCTCAATGCACGCATTTGCTACGTGAATGTGGAAACTTGCAGGCAGCAAACTTATAACAATCTCAACCTGCAGAAGGCTGAAACTTATTAATGATAGAAGTGATCAAGGTCCTATTATTTAGAAAATCATTCTACAAAAGAGAAAAACATAAGAGGTTACCGAGTAATAAAATTATAGATATTTGAAACCTTTTCTGTTTCTTTGGGTGCACCAATACATTATAGGTAAGTATTGATTAGCATTTATATTTTCTGAGGTCCTGTTGAATACCAGCTTGTATCTCATTGTTTCTATTGCCGAAAATTGATATGCTTTAAGGATGGCTAGGAAGTGGTTTGAAGCAATATTGTTGATGACTGTTTATATATCTACCAAATCTACTTAAGATGTATTATGTAAAAAAAAAAAAAAAATTTACCTCTGAGATGTACTTGTGAAGACTTTCACGATTCATCACGTCAAGCTGTATTGCTACCGCATTTGGAATACCTTCAACAATCTAATTCATATCTATTAATATCATAACAGAACATTCACCCCTGAACAAATAACATACACGTAAAGAAAAATATATATGTACATATGACTCTCGTATGCAGTATACAATATATGCATGTTTTTAGAGTTAAAAAACAAGTATTAGGTCCTAACTTAAGCTTTTAGGTAATAAATGTATTATGGTAATTTATATTTGTGGTTGTAGTTCTTATGGTTGTGTTTAGTCCAAGTGCAATGTTTGAGTTTATATATTATTGTAGGACATTCATCTATCAGGTTAAAATTTTAGATCAAGCAGTGATTCAACTCACATGTGCATGAAGATTCTTGTTTGTGTGTATGGACGTTGAAAACATTTCACAAAGAGAAAAGATGCAAAATTTTGATGATCAACATAACCTAATGGAGCTAAAAGTCTACAATGAAGCCAAAACAAAGGATTTTACTCAATTATACCTCTTCTGCATCCTTACGGAAGAGAGATCCAACAAGAACTTGAATACAATGCCCTTCAAAATTATTTTCCATGCACGTTTTAAGCCATTGACGAGACAAAATGCTTCCAACTGATGCCAACAGTTCGGCAGCTGGTTGGCATACACGGCCTGCACCAATAATCAGAACTGCACTCGTACTTTTTGTCTCAGATTCCTTCTTAAGGCCACTCTCCTGAACCTTAGAAACCTTTAGGGATATCCCATTTCCTTTCTTACTTTGGATTCCATTATTTTCTTTTGGATTAGCCAGAGAGGTTAAAGAATCAATAATTTGATCCAGAACTGCTCCATCATCTGCTCCAACCTGTCCAAAAAATAAGATGAATATGAAAATGAATTCAACCTAGGAATCCAAGTCTCATTACACAAAAAACCATACGAAAAAATGATATAGAATGAGATAAATGTAAAATGAAGTAAACCAGACTTCAATTTTTATGCATCTCAGCCATGCAATGTCAAAGCCATGTAAAATAAGAAAAACTAGACTTCAGAATGAATATGGTTCAAGTGTGACATGAGCATGATTATAAATTTTACTCTTAAAAAGTTAAAAAAAAAAAAAAAAAAAAAAAGACAGCTTACTTCGAGTTCCGAGTATGATGTAGCACCAATACTCTGACCCAATTGGCACTTAACCAAGTGGAAGGAGCCACCCGCATCTTCAATAATATCCAAAGCCTCATTTATTAGAAATTGATCAAATAAGTGACCACTCAGAGATACCTGTCAATTGTAATGTTAATTAACAATGTTTGACAGGAAACAAAACATTGTGATGGCTACAATGAACAAAATGATTTGCAGTAATGAAAATATTTCTCATCGTACAAAAAAATTCTATAAATTTGAATCATGTACAGTCCTATATTTGGTAAGGAAGAATAGAACCAACACCTAAAGCAAAACTGATAACCTACCAATATATTGTAATTCTTCTTTTTCTTTGACGGGCTGTTTCCATGATTATCCACTGTATCTCTGCAAATAGATAGCATGCGTTCTTTACTAAAGATGATACAACAAGTGAGTTAACTGGATGACTGCTTTCAGAACTAAACCTTTGAGTATATGTATCCACCCCTTGGATTCTTATAAAAAAATATTACCAAGTCTATATAATTAAATCTGATAGAACTCGAAGTTGGAAGAAATTGGCTGTTATTATATTAAGAAGCTCACTGAAAGAAAAACAGAAATGCAGCCAAATGAACTCAAAGCTTACTCAGAATCAGAATTTCGCATACGTCGAATATATTCGTATAAGGATGCAAGTGCTCCCCTGTGGACAATGCATGCTCGGCTTAAGTGTGAAGGCAACTTTTTGATGTCTATTGTAGAAGCTAAACTGCCGATAAATTCAGACAGTATGTCTCCAAAATGTTGGGAAGCCTTTCCACAATTAAAAGGCACGTTAGGTAAGATCATAAAATTGCAGTACATAGAGAAATACAATTGTAACATAAATAATTATGGAAATGCATGGTAAGAGTACCTCACCTCTTTCGCAAACTCTGTTGGAAGAATATCAACAGCTAAGCATATCACACCATTGCCCTCCATATCATGATGGTATGAATTATTCAGATGATCATATCTAAAAGATAATGATTGAGCAACTTATCAACACAGATGGAAAGATACAACTGTAATATTACTAGTTAGAGAATCTGTTGAAGATCAACAATTAAATGCCAACAAGGAGGGATAGTATGAAACGAGATGCAAACTATAAGTTCCAGAAAGTACAATTGTAGCCAGAAAATATCCAACTTATAGATTTCTTGAAGTTATTCATCAACTTCTGCACGAACTGATGACAACAACCATACTGGGATAGTAAGTTTAGATAATCTAGGTCTAGTCAGGGGCAGATATCTATATGGGGGACCATGGGATGAAAATAAATCTCTCAATGAATTGTTTTATACTTTGGCCCCCCAATTAAGATTTGTACACTGCCAAAATGCAAACTTTTGGATCCGACATTGGGTCAAGTAACAAAAATAGAAAACTATAGTTAAGTATAGCAACTGTACAGTATAGACTATCATGCCTAAGTTTAGACAGCCAAAAAGGTAAATTAGAGAACAGAACTCCAAAATAGTTAAATATAATGTAATTGGCAAAATGGCATGAGGTTACCAAATTAATACCTGAAAAAAGGTGAATCGATTGATGTGGATTGGTCGACAAACTCTATTGAGCCCCCTATATCACAAGTTATATCAGAAATTCCAACAAGTGGACATCCTTGCCTCATTAGATCTTGAAGCTGCTGGGTACTCAACAAGCGAGGAAATCTTTTCTCCCAGTACATGCAATTGACTGGTACATAGTGAATTTGAAAAGTGAGATATTCCTCACAAAAAGATTCCAGCAAAAATGAATATACAATCATATGGAGTAAGAAAAATATTCAATGACACAAAACACAAGGGGCCTGTGGCCTTCAGGTACTAAATGTGCAAATGGAAATGTAAACATTGTAATATTGACACAAAGTACAAACGAACATCATAATAAGAAATTGATCATATGATCGCATATACATCTTAAAGTGATGAGCTTACAGGGAAAAATCATGTAAGAAATAAATATTGACACGCATGGGTATCAAGTTGACAGGAAAAAGGAAAAAACAGAGAAATTATTGTTCAAGCAATAAAGGTTGTAGCATCTGTTTTTCAAACTTGCTATCTCAAGCCCTGTTATAACTTCCTTGGTTTGAAAATATTCTGATGCAACAGGCATCAGAAGATCTAAGTATGACTCAATTAAGATAAGTAAAAAGCACTTAAAGCAATCTCAATGGTTAAAACTGATAAATAATCATACAATTCGGGATTTCTATATAAGATGTTTGGTTAACCTACATGATGCAGAAAATGAGGGTCATAAATATGCAAGTTTATTGGTGATTTTCTTTTTCCATATGAGATCTACCAGCTTATGAAAGGTGGAATATGTTGAATGTCTCCATATTACAAAGATAAATAGCCTCAATTGAATTACAAACAACTATAACAGCTGAATGACATGAAAAGACATGGTTTGCCAGAAAAATGTGTTTCCAAGAAAGAGTATAACATACCAATAACAGATGCATACGGTGCTATCTTTTTATGGAAAACGGGGTTGTAGTGTTCTGGATGTGCATAATAATCTGCCTGAAATGGAGCAGAAAAAAGAAGTATTTAAGGTTAGCTACTTTTCAAAAAATTAGGCTCAATCTCAATCATGTGAAAGATTTTGATATCTCAACTACAACTGAAGACAAAATGATTTCAATCACAGACAAAATTATCATCAGCAGAAACATTACAACCATCAAACCATGCATGTACTTCACTTTACCTGTAAGCATGGGCTTGAAACTTACATAACTGCAAATCAAAATAGCCCGTCATTCAAGTGATTTTTTACCAAACTTTTTAAAAACAGCCTGAAGATAATAAGATCAACCTATGAAATTTGCAGATGGTGATTTTCCTGCTGATTATGTTTTAGTTATAACACTGCAGGACCTCAAATGCCAAGATGTATACTTTAAATCTAAATGTCACACCTTTCTGTCTTCCCTGGTTTGAGAAAGTTTCCTCGTGACCATCATATGTAGTCTTCTTGTGTGTTTAATTGTCTAAGCCTAGCTTTATTTATTTAGATATTGTTCTGTATTTTCCAAAATGTCCTGTCTGATTGGTCCAGACAGGAGATGTGTACTGTATTATATGAACTTTACAAACTATCCAGTGTCCAAGAAATTGGGCAGACATAATTTGATAAGTAGAAAAAGAAGAAATTCTAAGGCACTGTCTCTCATCAGAATAACATAAGACAGAAAATTGGAATTACTTACTTTGTCAAATCTTTTTGCTGGATCTTTATGTTCGACCATGTCTTCACTAGTCACAAAACAACCATATACTTGGAAGATTCTCTTTGATTTAGGTTGAGAGGAATCGTTAGCCTGAAAACAGTACGAGAGAAATAGAACATCAATGACATTAGTTCCTAAACAATTCGGCATGATGTAACTTGTTAAACTCACATTAAAGTACTACATCTAAATGACATTTAATCAAACAACAAGAATTCATGTCAAATATTCTGGACAGGAGGCACTGGAACCCAGCATTTATGAGCCCCACCTAAGCCTTCCAAGTTCCAAATGAAAATCACCTAGTTGGTAGTATTTCCTACCTTTCTGTTTTAATTACTTTTTGGTCAGGATTAGCAATCATATTAAAAATTGATTTTTCGAAAAAAAAAAAAAAAAGTTTTTGTATTTCAGTCATATAAAACAAGAATGGGACAACAAATCCTTGAGAACAAAAATCAGGCTGTTTCTTGAGCAGAGTGGTTTCCTCACTCTTGCATCTAAGCGGCCAGAATGGAATCTGACCTCTCATTAAGTCTGTTTCTTGAGGATATGAGGATTCCACGAAATCATGCAATTGCCTCCCTCTTAGGATAAACATAGAAATGGGAGAAGCAAACTCTCAAATGTAACAAATTAACCAAAAGTTTGAATCAGTGAGCCCAATATAAATCGTAATACATAAGTCCTATAGCTAGATAACCAAGAGAATAAGTGAAAACTCAACTGAAACTCACCTTTGCAAATATTTCAGGAAGTTTGCTTGGTTCAACAAAAACATGAGGAAGCAGCTTAAATAATTCTTGTGCACCAAGAGAGACTGCAGGCAATCATAAATTGCTATTCTCAGTTTCCAAGTGAAAATATCAAAACAACTATAGTCTATATCTAATTGGCCATATTTGTTGACTGTGCAATCAAGAGATTATATGTAATCAACAAAACTAGCACAGGATTGTTATAATACCATTTCCTGAACCAGTGAATATAAAGACTAGAGGACAGATTCCTGATGGCAATCCCAAAGTTGCTATCTCTTCACCCACAGAAATTACTGCAGACTTTGCAGCAGCCAAGGAAGTATACATATGTGAGGCGCCTAGCGAGAGGAAAGGTGTCGAATATCCAAGACCTAAATACCCTGTAATGATAGGAAAAAAACAGAACAGAGAGAAAATAACTTAGCAGAGTTTTCATAGAAAGGAACTCACCGCAGATGCATCCCAAGTAGAAACAAGAGAGGAAACATAACTAATCAAAATTGAGCTGTATGTAAGGAGACATGCACTACTTGAAGCTCTGTAATGAATATAGATAAGCAGTCCTATAAAATTAGACCACAAAATTAAACAATAACGGGTTGCTTTTGTTAACCCATTGAAACTAACTACTTTGGCAGATTTCAGAACACATTGACAAAACCTTAATAGCATCCATAAGATATTGAAAAACATGAAAGAATTATGTCAACATAGATCATATGTGAATGAGAAAAGATACCCCTGCCCAAACACAATATAAATAAAGTAAAATTTTATCAACATGAAGAAAACTGAATAAATTCCAATAAAGCGATATAAGAAAAAGGAGTTCAGAGGTGATGAGCATACGCTGTCCTAGTCCAGACAGAAAGTCAGTCATGCCTGCTCTACCAGCAAATTTACCAAATGAAAGCAGTCTTCTCCCGTGGTCTCCAACAATAAGCTCATAGTCATACAGGGAACACTTCTCTGCTAAGATCTATATAAAGCATAGAAAATGAGACTCAGGCGAAATCAAAGTCATATACTCGATAACAACGTAAACAAGGGATACCTTATCTAACAATGGCATGTTTTCTTTCTGAGCCTTGTGGGTATGAGAAAAAAAGGCATAAGCTCTATCAGGAAAAATCATCTCTATCTGCATCGAAACCAAACAATCAAATCAAATTTCCTGAGCTTGTTGCTACATTGAAAGCAAAGCACAGCACAGAGGACTTACCTTTGGTTGCTTAACACCCACAATAAGACCACATTCTGACAAATCCTCTGATATTTCACAACCAACATCCTCATATAGTGCATCATGATGGATTCGTTTTGTCGATGGCTGCACAATTATGCGGGCCACCCCAGTTTTATCCTTGCCTCCATTTAGAAGCCGAGCACAGTGTGATGGGGTTAAAGGTACCCTTCTTTCCCACTTATTCACAGACTCGGAGAGGATCCCAACAACTCCATTTCCAAGCATAGTGTACTTTCACCTGTTATACACAAATGATGATCAAACAAAATACCAATTTCTTGCAAATTTCAATACCTAGAATTTCAAACCATCTACTCTGTGATGGAACACAAGAAAGTCATTCACTTTAATCAATGTTGTCTGATAGCCATCGCAATCCTAAGCTGGATATTCATTGTGTTTAAATTATATTAAAAGGAAATACTGTTTCTTTCAAATTTTTCAACAAATCTTCTTGACAAATCAAGAAGTTTGTGATCATTGACCAAGCTTTAAAAGTTCCAGATTCTATATTGTGTTGCGGTTCAAAAATCATCCAAATAAGTTACGAGGTTGAACATTTTATAATCATGGTTTAAAGCAAGGTGAACAAAACAAAAGAGTCGAATTGAAACCTCGAGATATGAAAAATTAAATGCTTTCTTGGTTTCTTCCCCAGATTATACTGTGACAAAGTGATATCCAGAGAATGTATGACGCCCAACAATGAAAACTCTCGCTCAATTAATCATAAGTAACACCAGAAATTTCAGGAAAAGTTTAAAAATTCAACTACTAAAAGGCCAAGCTGCATTATGTTTGTCTCTGTTTAAAAAAAATCAAAAAAAATAAAAACACTTTCGGGTTTCAAATTTTGCTCAAGCAAATATAAAAAGATCAGAAGATCACAAACAGAGATAGAACAAGAGTTTAACACAGAACAATGAACTCACAAAGTGATCAGTGCACAGTACATTACTTAGTCTTATTGATCAAAGAACTCAACAATGATAATCAACCCACATAAACTAACAATTATCAACCGAAAATAATATCATTATAACATCAAATCAAAACACTTAAAGCGACCAGACACTTTTTCAACGATGTGTCAACTAAAAAAGACAAGACAAATTAAATCAAATCTCCTGACTCTGTCAGTTCAGAAAGCAAACACGTACAGGTTTAAAATTGAGTAAATGTCCTTCAAGTTTGACAAAGAAACGATAATTCTCTCATGCAGCCTCTTATATCACGTAATCAATAACCAGAAAATGAACCTTCAACCACTCTGAAAAAACAAAACAAATGTTAACCGTGCTCTGCAATGTTAAATTGTTTTGTGTTTTAATCGTGCTGTGTGCTGTGTGTGGAGCAATCATCCAAAATCATGAGCGTAAATAAATACTGTTCATGAGAGCGCTATAGATAAGGATCTGACGCAACAGTGTAGGCATCCACTTGCGTCGTCTGCATTCACTTAGTCTCGATCCAATTATACACGCACACGCGTCTTCCATTAAAAGCTTCGATCAAGCAACCGTCGAGTGTTTGCAGGTGGGACAAGTTATCGTGCATTTTGTCTTTGTGGCCATCATCAATGCATCAAAACATGCGTATAAGTAGTGATAAATTAATAAGTTATCACTTGCTGTCGAAAGTTCAGGCAAATCACTTTACGTTACGTCTCTCGTGTCAGAACTCACAACCCCATTATTGTTATTATTTTTATTCATAAAAATTTGTCCAATCTTACCTGATTTTGTCACATCTGACCATTATCAAAAACTGTGTGGCTATCATTTCTCCTTTTTTAATCAACAAGGAGATCTCCAATTCAGGATTTGGATTTCTGTTGTGGGAAAGGTCTAAAAAATGATGTTAAAAAAGGAAAATGAAGAAGAAGAAGCTCATTGTATTCTTATACTTTCTAGTTTGGAATGGTAAGAAATTTTTCATGCATAACTTGAAAAGGCAGTAATTGATTCTAGAAGCTAATTTACGAAAAGAAGTGCATATTGCAAGTTATAGCTCAAATGATTGAGAGAAGATGAATCGGATTTTATTTTATAGAAAGGTTTACCGGGTTTATAACAATTTCATCCTCAGGGTTTGATAAAAACTAACACACCCAAGGGTTTTGCAAAGTAACAAATGCACCCGAAAGATTGATTACTTTACCATATAAAGACTATATTACACTTTCTCTAATTATAAAACCTAAATTTAATATAATTACGTACTAAAAAATGAATCAAATAAAATGAAAGAGTGAAGCATAAGAAGATAAATAATACTAAAGTCTTTTCAAAACAAAGTTTCAATTACTTTCCAGTTTTTATTTTTTCAATTTTTTTGTTAATATATAAAAGTTTAAGAAATAAAAATTGAAAAGAAAAAATAATTAGACAAACGGTATTATAGTCCTTATATGGTAAGGGAATCAATTTTTTTGGGTCCATTGTTACTTTCCGAATCCCTTAGGAGGAAATGGTAATAAACCCAAGGATTACCAAAACTTTGGGTTTCAAGCGTTTGTGGTTGGTTGTATTAAACAATTACTTGTCAAAGATTGTAGAAAATTATTTCTTAAAAGAAGACAATGACATTATTGCCAAATTGATGTTTATCCATAATTGTATCTAAAAGTTTAAGGTTTTAAAGCCAAATTATTTTGTTATCCTTTTTGTTCAGCAATCTTATAGGGTAAACATTGTAATTGTCATTTAATTGTAAATAATGGTGAAAATATTAAACAAATCTACGCAATAAAATTTAAATTTCCCTAGGTATAAAAAGATATAGATTCTAATATCTTCAAAGATAATTAATTGACCAATATTCTAAGATACCTCAAAGATAATATTTAGGATGTGTTTGGTTTGGAGTGATCACTTGTTACTCTATTAATATCATTTTATATTATTGTCATTACTATGTTTGGTTGTTAAGCAATAAAAGATTATATAAGAGTAATCAGAATACCACCTCTTTCTTAAGTATTTTAAGATTATTTGATAATCTTAATTTTGTTACAGTTTTAGCCCTAATTAATAATATAATTATTATATTATATTATTAATAATATTAATAACTAAAGAATAATACTACACTTACAAAGAAATTTTACAAAGATCTTCATACAAAGTGATGTGGAAAAAAATGAATGGAATAGTGAATTCAATAAGTTTGACTTTTTTTTTCATTCTTCCATTCATTTTTTGTCACCTCACTTTGTATGGAAATCTTTGTAAGTATAGTATTATTGATAACTAAAATATCGTCCATCTCTACCCAAGATCCGAACATCAAAATTCCATTTTTGCCTAAATTGCAGAGAAAACGGGCTTCTAGATGTGGGATTTCATTAGTGATCCTTCTGGGACATTGACTTGTCACATGAGTCTGAATTTCATATCTCCGTATGTGAAAGTAGTATAAATATCTTCATATATCAGACGTTCGCTAATAAGTACCTCATCCTCAAAATTAAAACATTCCCATGGCATATAAGCTACTGATACGTTTTTCTCCAAAGCGAATTTGCCGCCAATTGTAGCAACACCATTCGCTAAAGCTTGTCCCTTTTTAATGATTTACCCCATCCAAGAATAATAATAATAATAAAGTGGCAATTCAGTAAGAGGCTTTTCCCAGAATTTTTTTAACCAAACATATTAATTATCTGTTCCTACCAATTTATTCCAATCTAACCAAACATATTTAATATAACATTGTGGATCCGTTTGGTTTGGGGTAATATTAGATAACTAGGGTAATATTTTTTAAATTGAGTAAATGATGATGTTTGGTTGTTAAGTAAAATAAGATTACCGTAAACAAATTTTACAAATAGTACTTTTGGAGGATAAATAAGGGGGAATTAGAATACCTAGGGGGAGGGTGTTATTAAAACCTTCCCCCCCGTTAAAACCTTTTGTTTCCAGATCTGTGGCCGTGAAACACCGACCATTTCACGGCCACGTCTTTAGCCGTGAAACGGCTAGATCTGGCTTCACGACCAGATCTAGCTGTTTCCAGCCATGGATAGATCCATGGTCGAAAATGGCCTCACCAGTGCACGATCGACCAAATTTGGTCGGTCGTGCACCACTACGATTAGTTCCAGCGGTGGCTGGCGGCCAACAGTGGCTTGGGGTGGGTAAGGGTGATTTTATTACAAAATAAAGTTTTTTTCAATTGTAGTGGGGTTAAAATAAATGATTCAAAAAATAATACTATATTAATATTTAAAATGGAGGGCAATTTAGTAATCTATATAACATACCTGTCAATTTATCCTCCCAACTAAACATATCAATATAATATACCTACCAATTTATCAAACACATTTCCTAAATATTGTCAGTAATCTTTAAGGTGATCTATCTTTCCATTAATATAACATCCTCTATAATAAAACATTATACGATCCAAGTTCCTCGTACCAGTAATCTTCAAAGTAGTCTATCTTCCCATTAATATAACATTTCTAGTAATACAATATTCCCTAAACCAAAAGACCCCTTATATTAATTTATGTAACCTCCCTACTCATTGGGCCAAACCCAATTTTATATTTTCAGTCTAGTTCCAATAATATATACAATGATTTTTTTTTTTATTTTTTTTGTAAAACAATGGGCATGTTTGACATGTGATGTAGCATAGCATTAGAGACATTGTATAACGCTAAATAATGCAATAAAGTGTTTGGTGACAACAATGTTTTAAAAACCGACCCGGGACAAAACCTGGCAAGGTGACCGAGTCCCGAGTTGACCGGTTCAATCGGTGACGTCAGCAAAATTACTGTTCACAGAATGCAAATTTCCAGAATTTGGCTCTAAATCATAAACTCCAGAATAAAAAGTCCTTAGCAAAACATCAACAAACATCATTACATCAATAATACAACAAATTACAAATCAAAATAATAAAATGAAGGAAGAAAAATCGCATAATAGTTGTTTCAACTTTCAAGTCAACACTTCAACATTCTAACAAAAAATGATCTTCACCCAATGGTTTTCAATCAATCATTCCATCCTCAATTAAAATTCACAATTCACACACCACCTGACAGATGATCGTCATTATTATTAACATCGACGACATCATCTACAAAAAATTCTAGAAAAAAAGTAAAACCATAAGTTAAATCTTCCCATTTAAACTAATTGAATATAAACTAGCTACTATCAAATTGAAATTGCTTAAAAAATTGTAAACAACCTTCTGAAGCATCTGTTGAGCCATAATAAGAAGGGTGATCCTCAAGATATATGATATGTAAGAACAACTTAATCAAACACATGGAGATAATAAGGCTTTTGCAGATTAGTAATGATAAAGAGGAAACTATAAAGCTTCAATAATTTTATATAAAACCAAGTAGGTAGGCACAAACTAACCATAAATGTTTCACCTATAACCAAAAGGTAACTTGAAATCACAATTTCTCTTCTAATCAAGCACTAAATGACCCTAATCCTTACTTGCTTAGCTTAACCCAAAAAAATTAATTTTTTTGTTCTACAATTTCTTGGCAAACAAACAGAGACCAAGCCATCACATTAAAAAATGCAAATACAAATCAATGTGAAAAAATGGTTACCTGGTTCTGGTGAAGATGAGCTACCGTTGACTGCCGGAGAGGTGGAGCTCAATTGTGACGGATGAACAGAGCAGACGACGAGAACGAAGAAGAGATCGCGACTGGTGACAATTCCTGAGCAAGAAGAAGACGAGAATGACAGTGTAGCTCCCAGATCGACGATGATAGATGAACAGAGTAGACCGGTGGTGAAGAAGAGTGAAGAGAGGACAGAGAAGAGATCGCGAAATGGGAGGAGATTCGTTGTACCCCAGCTGACGACGAACTATGCAGTTGACGATGAAGGTTGAAGTGACAAGATTCGACGGTGAAGGAGAGACTCCAGTGGATGATGAAATCTTTCAGACCAAAAGTGAGGGAAGTGGCGTGAAAATGGGGGGGAAATCGTTGATAACTTGATATTTGCTTTGGGATGGGGGGTTTAATGTTTAATTTTTATATAATATGGTTTTAATTAATATTTTTACTTTTAAAATTTTTAAATTTAGCATTTTAGCTGACTCAGTTTCTATAAAAAT